CCCCAGCGACTTAAGACTGCTTTTGTGCTGCAGGCTCACATATGTTATGTGAAATAGCATGTTTGTTTTAAAAAAGGTTATCAATAACAGACTATCAGATAAGATCAAAGGGCACATTACAAAAAGTACTCGCGTCTATTGAGTCATTATGTATTCATCCATCATGGTGAACATTTTGTGTCAGTTTCAAGAGTGTTTTTGTTTCATTGCTCTGACATCATTAGAGTGGAAGTGATCATCACTGGTCCATGCATTGGGCAGAATGTGCCCCTGTTTCTCTGTTTAACAGGGGATGTGCTGCAGCGCTCCGTCTGATAACGGTGGCTCTGTTACTGCCAGCATCAGCCCTGAAGCACAGGCTGCGGAGGAATGAGGCCAGAGATGTGGAGAGATACAGTACTACTGGCCTCACGCAGACTGAAGGAGGCCATTCATCAGGCCCGCTCCTCTCTACCCCAGCGAGGAAACAAGTACAACTCATCTTAAACTCCAAGAATCGTCCTTAAAAGCATGGCCCAATGTACTGTGTTACTGTAATAATATGAAGGAGTTTTCACAGGTTTTTTACCTGTATTCTGAATTAAGCATTGCATTGTGTTGCGTTTTAGGGTTAAAGGAAATATTCAGAAACTAAACAGATAAAGTTCTGGCAGAACATTACCAGTACCTTTTCCTTTGTTTTTGTTTTTTGTTTTTTTTCCTGATTTATTTTATTTATTTATTTATTTCAGGTTGTAAATGACAAAACTATTGCAAAAATGTGTTGCAAATGATCTGGATGAAAGCAGATCAAACGTGAGTTCAGACAGAGAAGCACAACAGAGTTGAATATAAACAGCAGTGCTGACAGTAATCTGGTGGAGCAGAGACGACCTTCAAGTGAAGAGCAGTGCTCACTGTGTTCAGTGGCCTATAATTATGATATTAAGATTAAATATTGTTTGGACACTACATCATTAATAATTATTTACATTAAACATTACGTCACAGAAACTCCACAAGTATGAAGCTTTTATTGTGTAAGTGTAAGTGGGACTGAAGCACAGCAAAAGCTCCAGAGAAGAGACTGACTTCATGTTCTGTTATGATCCTGATTAAGATTTTGGCTTTGAGTATGATGATGATGGTTGGACTGATACAACGTCTGACGGAACAAAGACACATCTGCATGTTTGATGGCATATAAAGGTGGTGCTGATGCTCACAGCACTGATCTCAGTTCATCTCGCATAGATCCGGGCTTCACATTCAGAGCTCTGTGGAGGAATCTCTTCTCACTGCACTTCCCTTCTTACTCGTCTCAATTCTGCTGTCTGAACACGATCTGACCTGCTAATAATCACTTTAATGTAGCTTGCGCTCACTGTTGTAAAGGGAAGCAGTTCCGGGAGCATGACGTATGAGGTCAGTGTTGCGCATGCGCCGGTGAGTCTCGCTCATACGTCATCCGCCCGGAACTGCTTCTGTTTACAACAGTGAGCGCAAGCTAGATTCAAGTGATTATTACGTTTTGAATATGGATATTTTTCTTACAAAAACGCATCGATTCGCTACAGGAGGCCTTTGTTCACCCCCCGGAGCCGTGTGAAACACTTTATTTTATGGATGGACGCTTTTTATTTCACTTCTTTTGGACTGAAGCAATGCAACACCCGCTGAGTGGCATTAAACAGCTTGAAAGATCAAAGACAATTTTTAATATAACTCTGACTGGATTCCTCTGAAAGAAGAAAGTCATATACACCTAGGATGCCTCGGGGGTGAGTAATTTGTGGGCTAATTTTCATTTTTGGGTGAACTAACGCTTTAAGATTATCTATCCATAAAATCACAAAGTCAACAAATGTGCAGCTGCTTCTTGATGAAACGTTAAGTGTGATCACCTGCTGAACCAGAATCTCTTCTTGTCTTTGGTGTCAATCATCCAAATGTTTCATATGATTTAAGGTTATTTTAAATATTTATAAATTGTAGTGTGTTATTCTAAGATGCAGTATAGCAAATGTTTTGGTTAAGAATGAACTAAATTCAATCATTGAGCGGCTACATAAAAACTAAAACTTTTCATGTTCTTGCTGTACCCGGATTTACAACAGTACGCTTAAGTGTCATTAAAATTAGCAGTAACTCAGTCAATTGCATAAAACAGCCAATCCTGCTTTTAAACAGACTAATAAACACATTTTAATATCCGTTTTTCATCAGTCTGACCACTAGAGGGCTCCATTACATTACTCCAACCAGATCCAATTGCTCATGTAAGCACATCAAGGTACTGTTTCTGCACCGTCAGCTTGTATTCATTCTTTTAGTCAACAGTGTAGTAATCACAATCCACTATTGTAAATTACTATAGTTACTGTAGTGTAGTTTACTGTAGTAAAACCATGCACTGCCCACATTCAGTTCACATAATGCATACTGACACTTGAATTCACACTGACACCTTAACACCCAAAATATCACATTTTGTGCCTCTGCATTTCCATTATGGCATATTTGGAGTTTAACACATTTCTGTTTATCTCTGGGTCTGAATGCTGCTCTCAAGCAGTCGCTTGAACAAAGACGGTTTATGTTTCACGGGAGCTGCTTAAAATGGTTTTGTCAATAGAGTGAAAGTAAACACTTGCAGCACATTCCTGGCTTGATTCAAGAGAACGATAAAACTATTAAATGTCACACGAACAGTAAGCCTGCTCTAGTTTGTTTTTATTTCATAGCTGTTGTTGAGTGAGGACTTGTGTAGATCCAGCTTTACTACATTCTGTTTCTGTTCTAAAATCTCATTCCTGGAACCAATCCAAAGACCGCTGTTTTTATTACTCTGCTGTAAATTCACGAGAATATCAATCAGGAAATAAAGACAATCTGGGTCCAAAAAGATTGGTCAAATATATCTTTAGAAGTCAAACACAGCATCGTGGGTCGATGGCAAAATGTGACAGGAACCCAAGTTCAGACATACTGAGGTTTTCAAGAATCTGTCCAACAGAACAGACTGACTTTACCAGCTTTAATCTGATGATGTTTGTGATGAATGCACATGATGAAATATGAGCACAAACATTTTCCAGATGTCTGTCTTTATCAAATGATTTGGTTTCTCTGGGGAAGTGTTTCACGTGAAGGAAATAAACATGTAGTGATATTATTTTATTGTGTACATGTTCATTTTTTCAGGTTCAGAATTATGAGCAGATGTTTAATAACGTTTGTAGATTATAACTCGGTTCATGTTCACTTCTGCTAAGGCTTCTTAGTAACATGAAAGCATATGATATGAATCTCTCATTTCAGTCACGAATAAACTGACTCGAGAAGAATGAGAAAAACGACCTGAGATGCATTTTTTATGGATTATTTTTCTTTTTAAATGGTAAAAAGGAAGAGTGAGGCTGACCCTACAATCAACTGCAGAAGTCAGAAAAGCAGATCTTGTCTCAGTTTTCAGAGCTGTTGTCTGATACGGGAGAGGAGATTTGTACTTTGTACCACAGTTGTGTACAGGGGCGTACATTTCGTCTAACAGTTGGGGGGGGACAATAAACATAAAATTTCTCAAGAGCAATTTTTGAAGGGGACACAAATAAGAAAAAGAGGGAGACCGTGCCAAATTAGACAACGTCAAGCTGTTGTGGTCGGGCCGTGAGCGCTCGTGTCCGTTGTAGACATTACTAACCGTCACAGTGTTCGAGGTTTTCCCATGGAATTGGGCTACTTTATCACTGTTGCCGCGGGTTGAAGCGACCCCAATAACGTGTATTTTAGCCCCCGGAACGCGATTTTTACTGGGGGACCCCCTCGAAAACGCGGTTAGTTTGGGCTAGTTTTGAGAAGCGATTGGGCGGGTTTTGTTGTGAAAACCTGGCAACCCTTTCCGTCAAGCAGGTAACGTTATTATTGCTAACATAGCAGACTCATCGAAAAATACATTGGCATCATCTGTATTAAAGAGTAAATAATCACTTCATCCGATGTTTAAGTGAATAAAATATGTGTGTGTGTGTGTGAGTGTGATAGTGTGTGATGTAAAAGAGGAAAGCAGGCATTTGGACCAAAGCACTGTGAGGCAAGGGAGCGGGAGACTCAAAATGTATCTAAACTTAACACATTTTTGCCCCATTTGTGTTGTTTTACTACTTACACAATTATTTAAAATATAAAACATTGTTATTTACAATACACAGCGTGGTCTTTAATCATAATTTTAGGGGGGAAAACCCTCAGATGGGGGGGTCCTAATTAAAAAAATAAACTATAAATGTCGTGGTTAAAATGAATCATTTCTTCATCATGACTGGTTTTTGTGTGCGGTAGCAGATATTTGAAAGCAACATTTCACTTCAACAGATATTAATTGGCACAAAATGTCAGTGTCAATATGTAGGATATTATATTGTATTAAGATCACATTCTGTTAGTATTCGTGCCAGATTCACATGAAGAAACCCTCATTTTCCTTTTATTCTCACTGCTTCTTTTACTTTAATTATGGCTTCATTTGGTTGGTTTTTCATTTCCCGATCCCATTGGTCGTGTCTTTTCTTTTAGCGCTGCTACTGACCTCTCTAAACATGTATCTAACTTTAATGCACATGAACAATATGAATGTTGATTTATCATAACTGATGCATGAGCGTTTCACCTCCAGACCCACTAAAGCTCCGGATCCTGAAGTCTCAGCTCACGACACTGCTTCTGTCATTTCTGCATTTTGCCATCATTTCTGATCATTGCAAATGAAACGAAAACAACCGTTTTACTGTAACCTGCAGAATGAGTTCACATTCCATCACGGATGACAGAAATGTGACTGAACAGGTGAATTTCTCCACTTCTCTTTTTTTCTGCCCATGGGAAATCCTAGAAGCACATCAGAGGTAACGTTCAGACACAGTCACCTCCAAAACCAGCTTTCCGACTCACGTCACCCAAAAAGCAGAACCAGTTTGAGAATAAATAGCCCCTCGGCACCATATCTGCACACATTCAGCATGATGAGGTTCTGTCTTCAGCTCTGTGTGCTGGGGGTGATGCTGCTGTGCTCGGTCCACTGCAAAAACCCCCTGAGCGGAGCTTACTTGGATGGAGACGTTAACTGCGCAATTTTGAGTTCAATTCACTCTAGAGTAATCGACCTTCATAAACGAACTAAACCACAGCCATTCGTTTGTACTGGGTGAGTATGCACAAGACTTTCTTATGTTTTCAAAAGCAGGAACAGTAGGGAAAAATTATCATTTGGATTCTTCCTAACACTAACCCGATTTCTCAAATGGAAATCAGGGACATTTACTAGTTCAGTGGTCAAAATATAATTGAAAACTCACTTGTTATCAAAGTATTAAAAAAAGAGAGATTCAGCTTCTCACTCTTCTCTCCAAAAATATCTGTAGAGGAAAATCAAATTACTGTAACATATTTTTGTTCAATAATATTTGTTGATTATTATTTGGAATTTTGGGGAGATTTATATGATACTATGCAATATTTATACAATTTTTATTAGCTATTTTCCATTCAATTTTTATCAGATTTTTCCCCCATTCATTTCCTATGTCGCTCATTTTTGACCGTGAAGGTACCAAGTGTTACTTTTTATTTTTCAACACTTTAAAACAGGTGTTCTCAACTCTGGCACTCAAGGTCCACTTTCCTGCAGGCCAGAGCTGAGAACCCCTTCTTTAACATATCCGAATCTTATTATGATTTTTTTTGTGTGTTCACAATGCACCAAGTGTCATCTCATTCCGATGAAGCAAAAAAAAACGTACAAATTTTTCTGTCTAAAGTGACCGAAGAGGCCTAGAAGGTTTTTAGCAGTTGCAGCTCTTTCATGAAAACTGGCTTTGTGAAGTTCTCTGTGGTCGGTTTTTGTGGAAACAGGGTCTGAGTTTTGCTGCAGTATTTCTGTAAAAAGACTGTTAGAAAGACTGTTGTTTTTAAAATACCAATAAATTGGGCTGTTAAGGTTACAGACAGGCTTCCATTTCCCATTTCACCCACGGCTTGTGCTAAACACTGATGAACACAACTTACCTTAGTGAAAAATAAATATACTAAAATGTATTTGAAATACATTTATTTTGTGCTAAGTACACTACAAATACATTTACATATTTATGTGCTTAATAAAAATACCCTGCAGTTGTACTTTTGGTACAGTATACTAAATTGGTATATTTAAAGACGGAAGTAGTGCTGAGGTCCAACTAAAGATACAGTATACTGAAGTATATTTGATTGTGCTAAAGTGAAACTATTGCAAGTGTACTTCAGATACACTTTAAACATCTTGCATTTAAAACACATTTTAGGCTTAATAATAAGAAATATGCATTGTGCGAGTCATATGTAAGTAAATATGTTAATATAGATTTGAACTATACTTAGTATGATATAGTGTTTACATAAATACATTACTTTTTTACTAGGGCTTTTTTTACTACACTGATGTACAAACTTGAGAATATAGAGGAAGGAAATATAAATAAAATAGAATCACAGCATTTGGTTTTTCAGTGTAGACTTCACAAATTATAGTAAGTAACACCAATAATAATAATAATGGGTGTTCACATTATTTTTTGTCCTACATCTGCACATCTTTACTATAAGAGAGACAACCAAAATGCGTACTGCTGAGGTACTCCAGCACCAGGGCTGGGAACTAAGAAGTCTCTCTCTCTTTTTACCAGTTTTGATCTGACCACATTTCTACAATTACTGAGCGCCATCCACACAATTGAAGAAATCAATAACTCTACATTGCTTCCGGGGATAAAGCTGGGATATGACGTCTGTGATCCTTGTGCATCTCCCACTAAAGCCCTGCACTGTGTGGAACATTTACTGGCCGTTAATGGATCTCTGCCGGCCCTTGTGGACTACACAGACTTCCGTCCGCCAGTGAAAGCTATTCTGGGAGAAAGATACTCAGAGTTATCCATCGCTATCGCCAAGCTCCTCAGCCTCTACCTGTTTCCTCAGGTAATTTGTTAACTGTTAAAGCCAATGTTTACCTGAATAATCCCCCAAATACTGTAATCTTTTACATACGCTCATGCCACTCCAAACCTGTGCGACTTTATTTCTTCTGGAAATAATTTTTGAAGAATCTTCATGCAGCTCTTTTCCACACTACACAGGTTCACATTGGCCACACTTGTCAAATCAGTAGTCCTGACTTGCATTGTACTGTATATTCCATGCATTCTGAAGTCATGTGATGCTTTCGGTGTGGAAAAGAACAAAACATGACTCTGGCCCACATCTAGATTAAAAAATGGCAAGATTATCACTGATAAACACTTGTTGTAAACACATTTTCTGTCCTTTAGTCAACGCTAGTGTATGATTTTGAAAACGTAGAATGTAGCACACAAGTCATATTTGGAGCTTAGCAGACTCATTGTGTGACAAGAGCTATATAATTTCTCTTTCTGATGGCAGAATTGTCCATTTTGGGTGACCCATCGCTTTAAGCCCAGTGAAACTCTCTGTAACTTTAGTCAGGTAACTAGTCACGGTCTGCAGAAAACTTAGGCATGACGTTTATCTGTCAACAGATCAGCTGCTCGTCCTCTTCTCCAGTCCTGAGCGACAAACTGCGGTATCCGTCCTTCATGCGCGTGATTCCCAGCGACGTCTACCAAGCTCAGGCTCTGGTCAAACTCATGTCTCATTTCTCCTGGAACTGGGTTGGTGTCGTGTATGGAGATGATGACTACGGTAGAGCGGCCTACCAAAGCTTCATGCAAGAGTCCGAGGGAAAAATATGTGCTGACTTTGAGAAAGTGGTTCCACACTACTTGGACCACGTTGACGTCGATAAGCACATCAAAGATGTTGCTCAGAGTATACGAAAATCTGAAGCTAAGGTCGTGCTGCTCATTCTGAAGCCGCAGCTGGTGGAGAAACTCTTCAAGGAGATGATCCAAACCAACACGAGCAGAATTTGGATCGCGAGCGACGCCTGGTCCATGAACCGCTTCTTAACAAAGATGAAAGACATCAACAAAGTGGGCAAAATCTTTGGCTTTTCCTTTTCCATGGGAATTACACCAGGGTTCGAAGACTACTTGAAAAACCTCAGGCCAACGCCAGGAGCAAGAAATGACTTCATAGAAGAGTACAAGCAGTTGCGACTGAACTGCTCCCTGTCACCCTCCACCTGCGCCGTAGATGATGTGCTGCAGGCAGTGGACCTGAGAGAGGCCTACAGAGAGAGAGTGGCCATACATGCTTTCGCTCATGGGCTCAGGGCGCTGCTGACCTGCAACGAGACCGCCTGCTCTGGAGATACCAACTTCCCTCCCTGGCAGGTGAGATTTCTCAAGCCAGCTCTCTACAGGGAGTTTCAGCTCCTTAACATGATATTAATGTAGCTTGCTGTTCATTGTTAATGTTTGTTCATAACACATTAACTGATGCTAATTTATACTCTTTATGTGTTAAATGCATTCATATATTTAGAAAATAACATTATCTATATCAGGGTTTCCCAAATAGGGGCTCGTGAGTTGAGAAGCTAATAATTAGTCACATCAAATGTAACATTAAAAAAAAAACAGTAAAAGAGGCTGCACGATAGTCACGATATGATCTGCTATGTTTAGCATCTCAGAGCGACTTGGTTCACTGTAAATGCAGTGAACTCCATCTCTGCATGTACTGTGAGTTTAATGTGCATTTGGGAACATTAAACTCACTCACGTAACATATGTCTGTCTCAATTTTTTATTAATGGAGAGTTCTTGTAACTAGCATTTAACAACCATTGACCATGAATAAGGACTTCTTTTAATCTCAAGGACACTTACACTTTTTTGCAGCTATTGGAAAGTATGCGCAGTGTGAATTTCACCCTTGATGGCAATACATATTCCTTTGATGAAAACGGTGACTTTGCGGATGGTTACGACCTCATAATGTGGAAGGAAAAAAATGATGAACGCTTTATTGAAATTGTGGGAAAATTCCTCTTGAAAAATGGAGACGTGGAGATCCTCAGTCAATTCCAGTGGATAAATCACACAGTGAGTTGTGCCATCTTCAATTCTAGCCACAAGAAAACAGCTGACAATCATTGTCCACAGTCACAATGTCTTCTTTAACCATTTAAAGCACACCTCTGTTTCATCCTCCAGCTCCTCTGGTCCAAGTGCTCAGAGTCTTGCCCACCTGGTTCTGTGAAGAACCAGTCTAAGATCCCCTGCTGCTACAACTGCGTTCAGTGTGGTGAAGGAAATTATACTGATGGATTCGGTAATTAGAATTCACATTCTGTTGTTCATTCTTTCTTTTGTTTCACTTCTACAAATTAAGGAAGCTCCCATGCTGACTCTTTAAAAACAGAGAGAACACATCAAAGACCCATTTTCATCCCGGTTTAATTAGATTTTCCAACACAGTGCCAAAACAGCGAGTCATACTTAGAAATTGTTATGGGATCTGGTTGACTGATTGGTCTTCTTAGGGCATGGACTCTCCTCACAGTATATCTGGGACTTTCCCCTGATCGACTGCTTCTTGCTGTTCCACAGTTCGTTTGTCTATGTCTGTCTACCTGTTTAATCAAGATAATGCAGTGGCTCTTAATCCTGGTCACCCCCCACTCCCCTTAATTAACACACCTGATTCAGATCATCAGCTCATTAGGAGAGCACTCAGATAAAGGAGAAACACAAATAGTGCAGAGAGAACCACTGGAATAATGTAAGGTGTGTACTGGATCTGTAACCAATATCCACTGAAGGAGAGTAAGTGCAGTTTATTTAAATCCAAAACATGAACAAATACAAGACAAACAGAGACTTGACTTGGCATGACCTTGAAACAAAGTGAAAAAAGTTTGGAAGTGAAAAAGAAAAAGTCATTGTTTAATTTAAAGTGAAAAGCCGTAAATTGACACTCCCAGAATTCCCTGCATGACAGTTCATATTTGATGTTTTTTTTGTTGAAATAGCTATGTTTCTTCTTAGTTTTTTCTTATCTGTTGTGTACATTAGGGTTTTATCTTACATCTAATGTTGTTAAATTAATGTTTATTGCATTATTTCAGTATAGTGTGTCACCGTGATGGTGTTTAGTGTTTGTGTGAATGACACTGTGCACCTTCTACTGTATATATAAGTATTTTCCTTCTCAGCTTGTGGAAAGCTGTTTGTGATGAGCTTTGGTTCATCATGTGACTTTCTCATCACCACCAGTTTTTGGTGGTTATCAGTGTATTACAATGGTTCAAGACAGATATTAGTACTTCAATATGTTGGTCTATTAACATTACATTAGTTAATGAAATACGTTTTTTATTGTGAATTTAAGCCTGTAAAACCTAAAATGTTGCTATCATATTATTTACAGTGAAGTTCTGGCAACCACAGCTGCCGGTATTTTACTGTAAATGTCACAGATTTGTTTTTACAGTGTAAAAGTCAGCTGGTCATTATGGTGAAGAAGAAAAAAACTAACCCCAACGTGAAGCCGATGACTATATATCATTCCACTACTTACCAAATAAATGTATAGATGAACATTAACATACAAGACACATAAAACCAGTACAGCACATCAGCTGACTAACACACTGATCCATTTAGAGTCACTAGACACAGATATCAGAAACATCGCCAGTGAGCGATCACAATCAAGTATTCCAGAGGGATCCAGAGAGATATTACATGCTTTGGTACCAATAATAAAGAACAAAGCTCATTAAGACAGATAGCATTATATATTCTGCATTTCTATTGCAAATCTGATGACTGTACACATGTTTTCTTTTTCAGATCTACCTGAATGTCTGAGATGTCCCAAAGGAATGTGGTCTAATAAAGGAGACAGTAAATGCAGGAAATTCGAGGAGAAGTATCTGGATTGGAATGACAGTTATCCCATAGCTCTGTTAGCAGCCACGGCAATAGGCTTGGTTTTAGTGTTGACTTCACTCATCATTTTCTATGTGCACAGAAACACAATAGTAATCAAAAAGGCTGACAATACAATGTCTTGTTTCATGTTACTGGGGTTGGCGGTCAGCTTCGTCAGTGTAATCATGTTCATCAGCAGGCCAAACGAGCATCTGTGTCGGGCACAGCAGGCCGTGTACGGTCTCGGTTTCACCCTCTGTGTCTCATGCATACTGGTTAAAGCCTACCGCACTTTCCTGGCTTTCATGGCCTTTGATCCAGACAGCCAGCATAAGCTTAAAAAACTCTACAAGCCTCTTATCAATTTGGGCCTGCTTACCGGTGGCCAAGGTATCATCCTATTGTTCTGGCTGGTTTTCGGGTCTCCTCACCCAGATTTAAAGTGGCCTGGAACTGGCATGGAAAAATACGTTGTCTGTGATGAGGGCTCCATTGTAGGTTTTGGGGTGATGCATGGTTACATAGCTCTATTGGCCTTCATTTGTTTCTTTCTTGCTTTCAAGGGTAGAAAAGTCCCCCATGATTTCAATGAGACTGGTGTCATCATCTTCAGCATGTTGATTCATCTGTTTGTCTGGCTTTGCTTTATTCCCATTTATATTGAGAGAAACAAGACAGAGCAGCGGCACATTGTTCAAGCTTCAGCCATCCTGGCCTCCAACTATGGCATAATGTTTTGTCATTTTGTCCCAAAGTGCTACATAGTCCTGTGGGAGCTGTCCGAGAACTCAAGGGCCTCGATCATAGGCAGGTTGGCTAGACGCGTTAAAGATGACACGGTCAATGCAAACATCACTGTATTAAATGAGACGGGTCGAATCACTCCAGACTCAGGCATCTTCTGCCAAGGTGTAGGAACATCGGTGATAGAGATCAGCACACTTTCTAAAGACGTTTCCAGTTCTATGAAGACTGTGGACTTATTTAATACAGATAGAGGCAGTAAAGACCTAACAGTGTCCCGCCATGCCAAGCTGAGACAAAGACACACTACTCAATAAAAATAAAGGGGCTGTCTTGCCTTCTTCCAGCAACTGCATTTACAATTAACAAACAAATACTTCCTGGCCAGAATAAACTGGATTTTTCATCTCACATACATTGTAAATGTACCAATACTGTACTTATTGTTTAAAGGTTCTAAAAGGGTGCTTTGATGATTTTTGCTGTATCTTTATACATTTTTCTACATATACTTATAGGGACTCTGCATTTATGAATTAGTGTACTAAATGTAATGGTGTAATGGTGTATAAACTGGTTCAGATGTTATTGCAAACATGGTAAAACCACCCTTGTAAAAAATTTATATATTTAAAATACATTTATTTTATACTAAATATAGTTCAAATCTGTTAACATATTTACTGACATATCGCTCGAGACTTACTGATATAAAAATTATAATTCACCTTTATTTGGAGTACTACTTGTGCACAATGCACATTTCTTAATATTAAGTCTAAATGTGTTTTAATGTCTCTATTGTTGAGGATTGTACGATATTTTAATGATATTGGTCTTTAAATGCAAGATATTTAAAGTGTACCTAAAGTATACTTGCAATAGTTCCACTTTAGCACAATCAAATATACTTCAGTATATCTTTAGTTGGACTTCAGCACTACTTACACAAGATTAAAGTGCATTAAGTGTAAATTTAGTTGTTCCAGTTTAGCAGATTTTAAATATACCAGTTTAGAATACTGTACCAAAAGAACAATTGCAGGGTATTTTGATTAAGCACATAAATATGTAAATGTACACAGTAAAATCCCGAGTGTTAAAGTAACACTGCTCGGAGCATATATGGTCCCACTCTAAAAGGGTGTTAAAGTAACACTGAAGCAGTGTTAAAGTTAATGAGATAATTATGTGATTAATTAAGTGCTGATTGAGCATTAGTGATGAACAGCTGCTGTTAACGAGCAGAATCACTGAAGAAAAGAGAAACAAGAATTACAACTGACTTCAGCCACAGCCTTAGATGAAATCAACTGAAATAAAAAAGACATTAAATCTCTCAAGATCTCAGCAGAAGATGATTGCACAACTCTATTGCATTACTAACCAGTTAGACTTTATTTCTGGAGTATCTAAAACAGAAGTTCTTTATTGAGAATTAA